TTTTTCTGTACTTAGAGACACTATGTTTTTCTGTACTTAGAGACACTATGTTTTTCTGTACTTAGAGACACTATGTTTTTCCTGCTCAGTAAGATGTCTCCCTGTAAAACTTACAATTTTGTAGCAAATGATTTCAGTCCAAGCTGTAGGACAAAGATTTTACTTGATTCATGGAGGCAAGTGTAGGACAGGTTTTTGTCCGAAGATAACACGATCAAAGTGTGTAGCTGTGTGTACGATATGGATATTGTTTTAAGTTTGTAGCCTTGTTTACTTAAGTGTGAACATTGTACATGTCATAAACCCCACCATTGTGCCATTACTTTGTAAACCTGTTTTAGTGTGTTTTTATGTAAATTGTTGGTTTTGAGATCAATAGTCAAATTATACCGGTAATTTAGTATATAATAGTTATAAGTTAGGAGACCATTTTTTAGTTATTTTTGTAACGTGCAATGTGGATTAGTCCAGTTTTTTATAATGTAGAAATATTTGCCATATATATTTATGTGTAAAGTCAGTAATGATGATTGTAGAGAGAAATGTTTGGGATCAGCCTACAGTTCCGACTCTAACATTGTCTGTCATACTGTGTTGTGATCATATAAATACTACAACTTGTGTTTCTCTGGAATGATTCCATGATAGGCGCCAAGATGGTATTGGACTCTGTTTTAGGATTTGTGTATTTTACTTTCCAAGTTGTATTACATATGTATGCTCCATTTTACTGTGGTAAAATATTTCAAAGCTGATTGAATAAAAGTAAATGGCTCTACATGAAACTTTGAGTGGTCCCACAGACATTCTAGTACCTATTGCTTTGTTCAGACCTATAATGGCTTGGTTTATTGCTGTAGTGTTTTGCTTGTTTCAAGTTTCACATTTTACTTCAGATGTGTGTTGTAAAATGTAACCTGGATTTGGATGGTAACTAAACCATTTTTTTTTTAATCAAATTTCTTTTTTTAAGTAATAATTTGAATGTTATAAACTGGCCAGTATTATCATCATGAAAGCATCGTTTTGATTGGTGGATATTTTTAAAGCATTATATAGGTAGACTACTGATAGTGGAATCTTATCTTGTTTTACTGGTATCTCTATAGGATGTAAAATTTGTCTTTTACTACTTTCTGTTGAAATTACTCAATATTGATATTTTAATACAGCTTTGAGTTAACTGATGTGCACACATCATCAGGATAGTTGAAAAGTTCTGTTTGATTAAATTTGCTTTGTTCCCTGTCTGCTGAGAACTGTATGTCCCAATGAAAACACCTTTTTTTTTATCAAATTCATTATTTAGGTTACAACTATGACATTTCATTGAAACTGCTATTTATATCATGTTTCTAAGCTATTAACATTTGGACAATAAAATTTAGACAAGATTTTGTTGAGTTTTGTTATCTTAGCTTGCCTTGCATCAAGTGTCTTTGAGTTAATGCCAAAGTGTAGATGTTAATATGTCTGTTTCTCAAGATCAACCAGACTTTTACACATGATATATGGCTTGTCGCTTGCTGTGGTTCAATCCTACTCATGATATATGGCTTTTAGCTTGCTGGGGTTCAATCCTATACATGATATATGGCTTGTCGCTTGCTGGGGTTCAATCCTACACATGATATATGGCTTGTAGCTTTCTGGGGTTCAATCCTACTCATGATATATGGCTTTTCGCTTTGCTGGGGTTCAATCCTACTCATGATATATGGCTTGTTGCTTGCTGGGGTTCAATCCTACACATGATATATGGCTTGTTGCTTGCTGGGGTTCAATCCTACACATGATATATGGCTTTTAGCTTGCTGGGGGTCAATCCTACTCATGATATATGGCTTTTAGCTTGCTGGGGTTCAATCCTATACATGATATATGGCTTGTCGCTTGCTGGGGTTCAATCCTACTCATGATATATGGCTTTTCGCTTTTCTGGGGGTCAATCCTACTCATGATATATGGCTTTTAGCTTGCTGGGGTTCAATCCTATACATGATATATGGCTTGTCGCTTGCTGGGGTTCAATCCTACTCATGATATATGGCTTGTTGCTTGCTGGGGTTCAATCCTACACATGATATATGGCTTTTAGCTTGCTGGGGGTCAATCCTACTCATGATATATGGCTTTTAGCTTGCTGGGGTTCAATCCTATACATGATATATGGCTTGTCGCTTGCTGGGGTTCAATCCTACACATGATATATGGCTTTTAGCTTGCTGGGGGTCAATCCTACTCATGATATATGGCTTGTTGCTTGCTGGGGTTCAATCCTACACATGATATATGGCTTTTAGCTTGCTGGGGGTCAATCCTACTCATGATATATGGCTTGTAGCTTGCTGGGGTTCAATCCTAAGGTTTTCATTCATTAACAGAGCAACAACATATAAATGTTTACATACACAAATAGAAATGTCTACTGATAGGACACAAATTACAGTAAATTACAGTGACATTCTGACATAATTAAAGTGAGTGGTATAGGGAATGACATTATCGGCATGTACCAAAACTTTACCAAGATTTATAATTTCTGAGATACCATGGCTATCATCAATCGAATCTCATACCTGAGTTTTTAAAAAAAATAAAACTTGCAGATTAAATATCAGAAAAACAAGGACATTTTGAAATTAAATGAAATTTATATACGCTACATCATTCAAATCACAAAATGTTATCATATTCTTTTATTTGTGTATTTTCAGTATGATATCATGTGAAGGGTTATCAACTTTGTTCAAATGAATAACCTTGACCTACATTCAATGTTACAGGTGTCAGATGTATTAGTAAATAGGCCATCAATAAGCACAAACAACTTGAATCCTGATGTCTACAATGATTATATTTGGCTAGCAACTTCCTACGGCAAGCAGCTGTCAGGGTTTTTCTTTTTGTCAAATTGATTAACTTGGCCAGTTATCAAAGTCATAGGCTTCAAAATGTTGAAAACTCAATACAAATAAGAAAGAAAAACTGGGATTGAGATCTGATTAGTGGTGTTAAATAATGGATGTCTGCATTCCTTAATACAAAACTAAATTATAAATTGCACCTTTTCATGCCCAAGTAAACAAAACCAATAAAGACCTAATGGGCATTTTGTTTTCATAATATCTACAAACGAAATAATGCAAATTTGAATTAGAAAATTTTGCTACAGATGTAGCAAAGAAAATGTATCCAACCTAAGCTTTTATGGGGATTTAAAGGTATATATAATGTTCTAGCTGGTTTCCTAACAATATATTTACTCTCATATTATTATTTACTAATTGTCACAAAAGTTCATAACTGATTAATTACATGTTTCAACAACAGAAAAAACTGTCTACATGAGAACTGGTCATGTGTAAAGGCTAGCTGTAGAAATAAGATTGCAAGAAATTATCACAGGCTTGTATAAAATATTTGAACTCTGATAAAAAAACACATGTGAAAGAAAATTATATAAAGAGAAGTGTACGGTAAATAGAAAATGGACTCAGACTTATTTTGGACCAACAATGTTTTGCACCACTATCACCTTAGTCAACACAGTTCCGGTCAAGCATATTACATGATGTGTGGTATAAGACAATATTATTTTATCGTTCTTTGTGGTCTCATTCGGTTCAGAAAACATTTTAAACAAACCGTCTTTCCAAATGGCAAAGCACCATTTTTGCAGGAACAAAAATTGTGTTGCCGGATTTGTCAATCAGCGAAACTTAAATTAGACACTATTTAAGAATTTCTGTCATAATTTGAGTTTGAGGTTATGGCGTGAATGGTTCCGGATTACTCAAACAATTTGACGTGGTCATGCAGACCCGAACAGTTTCGAATTGGAACAAAATTAATGTGTAATGGTTCTAGCTGTTATTGGATTATAAAAACTGTTCTGGTTGTTAGGTATCTAATTATAAGGACTGCACAAATGAAATGTTAATATACTGACTTGCATATCGAGTCCAGGCAAAACTAGAATTTAAAAGTACATGTACATTGTATGTAGACTCATCCTATACAACAAAGAAATTTACCATGTGTGCTACTCAGGCCCTAAAGGTTTTCTCAGATTCCATATAGTTTTGAAGTGTATCATAACACAGCAAGATTAATGGATTCTTTTTTAGGTAGGTCTTCCGCCAATGATTTTGTGTGAAATATTTTTTCTTTAAAACATTAAAACAAATATCTAAGGACAAGAAAAGTCTATAAAACCAGAGACGTATATATACTACTACATACTACGTATACATGGCTTTATATGTCAGTTTTTCAAACTAGCACATCTAGAAAATATGTATCCTCCAGGCTCCAACGTTTTAAAAGAAATTAACTTGAGCCAAAACTAGGTCTAATAAATGTATTTTTTTGATCAAATATATAGGCCTGTAAATAGATAAAAACACTCAAACTTCTTGTGAAGATGTGAAGATTGCATTTTCATCCTGGATTCCTGATATAATAAAAAGACATTTATGAACAAACAGTCATAATTATTGGTCAATACATGTACATATTGCAATAGCATGCTACTTGGTTCTGATCCGGATTTATTAACCCGTTTCCGGTCCCATTTTATCCACTCCTACTGAGTCGCCAAGCTAAACAATATGGCGGCCACGATTGAAATCGCAGGGGAGACTTTATCAGATGCCCGTGTTTTGGGCATTTGTGATGCCTTGCTGGGGTCCAAGCTGCGAATGCTTTCCTTGAGAAACTGTGTGGTCAACGACAAGGCGTTCAAAAAGATTATGGCTTGTGTGGCGAATAGTAAAACTATTCTACAGCTGGCTCTCAGTGTTGGCGTTGTCAAAGATCTTCCCCGGGTCAAAATTCTCGCGTTGGCTTTGCAGAAGAACAGGTCACTTGTGTCACTCTTGTAAGTAGACCCCAGTTGGTGGGAAAATGTGCTATTGCGTTGGTCACATTCACATAAAAAATGTTATTGCCAATTGAGCCGTCAGATATATTGTGGTATCATTTTATCTATTTACTTCCCTTTGACTGTAAACATGCACATCTAAATATAAATTTAACCAACATTAATTATAATTTGGGACAAAAAGATCATGTACCAGAGTTTTTAAAATTTACTTGTATGCATCTTATTTGAATTTGACAAATGTTATAGTCAGAAAACTGAAGGTTTCATCATAGGTGAGTTCTGTTCTGTGGCTATGATTATGAATTATTCAGTAGTTGGGGTTTATAATGTAATACAAGGAAGCACACACATACAGTTACTTCCTGATAGAAACCACAGATCAATACACCTAGTCTATCTTTGCACAGGTAACCGGCACCTGACCTAGTGTACATCTGATCAATCCACTGTAGCCTACACTGCAGATCTCTATTGATTCTAACTACAATGTATATTCAACATAACAAATTCTTGCCTTTGTTCTGGTTGTAGTGAATTATTCAGTGAATTGTCTTGGTAAATATCTTACTGTGCTTTCTTTGCATCACACCCTTTAAGTTATCATTTACTTGACATCAACTTGTGTAGTTAGTTGATATCGATGGACAGTATAATAGCTGTATATATATATTATATAAGCAAAAAAATTATCCTTACGGACGAAGAAATATTATAAAAAGAAAAATCGTACAGCAAGTCTTTAGTACTTTCATCTCTTCTAGGAGATTCTTCTGACTGAAGAATCTCCTAGAAGAGATGGAAGTACTAAAGACTCGTTGAGAATTTTTCTTTTTATAATATATATATATATATATTGGTTGTATTACTACTGCTCAGGTGTAGATCAGTATGATACTGTGTGTGTGATGTTATGCTATTGCATGATATTCCAAAACAGTAGGGTTGAATTGATATAGTCCTTGATGTGAAAGAACATCACTATTAATTGATATTATTCTGAATGTTCTGAGATTTAACATTCACTTTAAATTCAACTGCAAACTTATTGTGGCAGATTTTAATTGTTCTACGGATTACGGTCACCTTCTAGCTTCGCGCTAGAGGGAATTTCCCTTTAGCTGAGTGGTAGAGCATCCGACACTAGCTACGAATGTCTTGAGATTGCGACCGATCCTCAGTGGAAGCACACTATCATCTTTCCTGTTATACTTCTGTTTATAATTAAGTCTATCTTTTATTATCTCTATGGAAAGGATTTTAATTGACAACTACAATCAGGATTAAAACAATTTGACTACATTATATTAGGAAATTATATAGTCAATGCATGTTTAGTCTTTCCAATAAATTAAATGTTTGTCAACAAATATTACAATCAACCTTTCCTTCTTGTCTTGAAATGTTTAAAAAAAAAAATGGTATGGAACTTGCTTCAAATAAGGGAACTCAATGGTGTATAAATGATTGGTGTTAGGCATAATAGGGGAAATGGGAAGGGGTGGGGGTCAATTATTTAAAAGACTGCTCCTGTAGTACATACATGTACACAGATGAAGGGGTTTTGATTGAAGTTGGTATGAAATATCTCTGGATCAACAGAATTCAATAATTTTTACATAAAGTGTGTTGACATCTGAGGACACAGGTATGGAAACAATAAAGGAAAAAGAAGTTAATCTTTAAGTTAGTGACCTTGACTTTTGAGCAGTCATGCCTCTATTCAAACTTTTCCAGGGTTAACATAGCTGTGAAATTTGATTAAATTCTGTCGAGATACATGTCCACTATAGAGTGGCAATGATGAGTCTGACAATGATGAGTCTGGCAATGATTGAGTCTGACAATGATGGGTCTGACAATGATGAGTTTGACAATGATGAGTCTGGCAATGATTGAGTCTGACAATGATGGGTCTGACAATGATGAATTTGTGAATGAATGAGTCTGACAATGATGAGGCTGACAATGATGAGTCTAGCAATGATGAGTCTGACAGTCTGACAATGATGAGTCTGACAGTCTGACAATGATGAGTCTAGCAATGATGAGTCTGACAATGATGAGTCTGACAATGATTGAGTCTGACAATGATGAGTCTGACAATGATGAGTCTGACAATGAATGAGTCTGACAATGATGAGTCTGACAGTCTGACAATGATGAGTCTGACAATGATGAGTCTGGCAATGATGAGTCTGACAATGATGAGTCTGACAATGATGAGTCTGACAATGAATGAGTCTGGCAATGATGAGTCTGACAATGATGAGTCTGACAATGATGAGTCTGACAATGATGAGTCTGACAATGATGAGTCTGACAATGATGAGTCTGACAATGATGAGTCTGACAATGATGAGTCTGACAATGATGAGTCTGACAATGATGAGTCTGACAATGATGAGTCTGACAATGATGAGTCTGACAATGATGAGTCTGACAATGATGAGTCTGACAATGATGAGTCTGACAATGATGAGTCTGACAATGATGAGTCTGACAATGATGAGTCTGACAATGATGAGTCTGACAATGATGAGTCTGACAATGATGAGTCTGACAATGATTGAGTCTGACAATGATGAGTCTGACAATGATGAGTCTGACAATGATTGGTCTGACAATGATGGGTCTGACAATGATGAGTCTGACAATGATGAGTCTGACAATGATGAGTCTGACAATGATGGGTCTGACAATGATGAGTCTGACAATGATGAGTCTGACAATGATGAGTCTGACAATGATGAGTCTGACAAATGATGAGTCTGACAATGATGAGTCTGACAAATGATGAGTGTGACAATGATGGGTCTGACAATGATGAGTCTGACAATGATTGAGTCTGACAATGATGAGTCTGACAATGATGAGTCTGACAATGATGAGTCTGACAAATGATGAGTCTGACAATGATGAGTCTGACAAATGATGAGTGTGACAAATGATGAGTCTGACAATGATGGGTCTGACAATGATGAGTCTGACAATGATGAGTCTGACAATGATTGAGTCTGGCAATGATGAGTCTGGCAATGATGAGTCTGACAATGATGAGTCTGAAAAATGATGAGTCTGACAAATGATGAGTCTGACAATGATGAGTCTGACAATGATTGAGTCTGACAATGATGAGTCTGACAGTCTGACAATGATGAGTCTGACAATGATTGAGTCTGACATTGGACCGATAGATGGGAAAAGAGGGCAACATAAATCTTCAAATAACTACCACTACTCACATATGGCTTGATAATTTAAACACATGCAGTCCTAATTGATATCAATGATTACATGAATACATCCCTCATAACCTCTTTATAAGCTTAATTCAAATACAAGAATAATGCACCCGAGGCAGCCAGTAGTATGTATGGGGGCTTGCAGGACAGGTATTAGTTAGTGTCTAGATAACAATTACATTTGTTTTCAGACAGCGTTGAAATTCAATGACAGACATTTTTGCATTCTTGTCAGCTTTCACAAGACCAGTTTGACCATTTGTTTTTATCAAATAACAACATCATGGGACCCTGGAAACATCTTATTGGCTGGGTAGATGGCTTTTCTGACAAGTCAATTTGTTTTGACCCCGCACACCCCAAAGTTCCAACAGGCTAATTTAAACAAAACAATGCAAGTGTTCCTGTTCTTACTTTCAGAACACTTTCAACTTAATTTCTATTTCAGGTAACAAATAAAAACAGGTGAGATACAGCCCCGATGGGTCTTGTTTTTTTTTGTAAAACTTTGAAAAATACACTTGACCATACAATTCTAATTTCATAAATTGTGTTTCCAAAGAGTATGTACTGTATGTTTAGGGTGAATGGAAACCCATTTGGAGACGAAGGAATGGAGATTCTCGGAACATCTCTTGCTCAGCACCCAAACATTGTATCCCTTGACGTTGGAGACTGTAACCTAGGCGACGAGTCCCTGGAGTACATCAGTGACCTTTTACCTCCAAATGGTGGCAAACCAGGTCACTATCTCTAGTTAATTCTGCTGTATATCTACCTGTTACTGTGTACCAGGTTATATATATTTAATCTAATAATCACCCTTCTCAAGAATAATCTATAATAAACTGACAATACTTAAGGATCCCTGTCCCACTGTGGTGTGGTGTTTATACAGTAACCTCCCCTTAATGTTGTTAAGGATATAACTGTAGCATAGTCGGGCCAAGACACTTCCATTGACATCAGACAAGGTAGCTCAATAGAGAGTACAGCAATAAGTCCAGGGTTCAAATCCCAGTCTAGCCACACTAAAATTTGACGCTCAGATTGTTTAGCATATTTTGCTCTTTTCATCTTTATTATTTTTTTCATAAAAGTTGGTATGGTTTTCTTTTCTGAAATGATTTATCAAACTTTAAGTCAAGTCGGAAAAAATAGTTTGTGATGCATAGTTACAGCATTTGGTAAAGGGGATCCTTAATAGCCTAATGTCTATAAAGATGTCCATTAACACAGGTTAATCTCTCTTACATTTGAACCAGACGGTGTTTGTTCTGTTTCTTTCTTCCCTTTCTGTTTGTTTAAAAATATTTGTTGATTTTTATCCCTGATTAGGACTGACGGATCTGACCCTGAGTGCCAACACGAGCATAAGCCCTGAAGCTTGGGCCAAGTTCGCGGTGGCTCTGGCCGTGAGCAGTCAGTTGCGCGAGTTGTATGTGGACTACAACAGACTCGGGGATTACGCAGCCAGCTGTCTACTGGTGGGGCTCACTTCAAATAGACAGATCGAGATCCTCGACCTAGAAGGCACAGGGATCACCGACCATACCGCAAAGGTAACTAATAACCTACTTTTCTATATTATATATAATAATTCAAATCATTATTTATTAAAATGATTTAAATGTGATATATACATATATATATATTCTTATATAAAAATATATAACTAACTTTACTATATGGAGGGTTAAGATACACTGTACCAAACTTTGCCTGTCAGGATAGAGAACAGTATAATAAACTGGGTAATATGCCTCTCAGCAGTACTTTTAGATGTTAACTTTAATGTTGGTTTTTGCACTAATCAAGAGACAGAGGTTAATAAAGATTGTACACTAAATACTCCTTTTTTTCATATATAGCTTTTGTCCTATTTGGTGGAGAACTTTCCAGTCAAGTTGCGACGGGTTGTCCTGGCAGAAAACAAAATAGATGAGGTGATGATAAGGGAGATCAAACAGAGTCTGGATGATGACAGTAACAGTGATGTCCAGAGCCTGGCTAGCACTGACCTGTATACTACTGGTCAGTCAGCTAACGACAGCCTCAACCCCCTCCCTAAACCTGTAGAGGTCAAACTTCACCATGTGGAGCCTGTGGGGACAAATAAACCCCTCAAAAAAGGGAAAAAGAACAGGAAAAACACTACCATCAGTTCACTTGGGGAGACTGATGATAGGGACAAAAACAGTGATATCAAAGATGACACAGTAGCCACGGACGAGGACTACAAAGTATTGGCAAAGGCTCTAGAGGCCGGGCTAAGTACTGGTGGCACCAGTGACCTAGGTCTGACAGGTCACAGTCAGACCTTTGATGAGGAGGACGAGTCTTCAGAGGAGGGAGATATTCTCACGGAGGTGCCAGCCACAGAAATACACAGGAAAGTTTTAAAAGTCACCAACGTGTCACAGAAATCTCACACTACCGACTGGAACAGTCTTGGGGAACTCATAGACGATGATGATGATGAAGGAGAGTTACTCAAATAGGTCAGACTACTCTGGGTAGGAGGAGTAAAGTCATCGTATAAAATTAGTATCTTATTGTTATATTTGTAACTGCCAAGCAATAAGAAGGGAAAATACTGCCTTACTGACGAGTTAGCTTTTCCAGCGATGCAATATAACCTGGGTACCCCCTCACTGGTTCAGCAAACTTGAGTATGATCAGTGGCTGAATGGGGGTCCACAAGCATGTTAGATTATGTCTGGACTGGTCCATACAAACTAATTAAGGTTTAGTGTGGTCACTGGCTGGATGGGTGTCCACTGGCATGTTACATTATGTCTGGACTGGTCCATACAAACTAAGTTAGGTTTAGTGAGTTCAGTGGCTGGATGGTAGTCCACAGGCATGTTCCATTATGTCTGCGATGGTCCCTACAAACTAAGTAAGGGTTAGTGTGGTCAGTGGCTGTATGGTAGTCCACAGTCTTGTTACATTATGTCTGCACTGGTGCATACAAACTAAGTTAGGTTTAGTGTGGTCAGTGGAGGAGTAAAGTCATCGTATAAAATTAGTATCTTATTGTTATATTTGGAACTGCCAAGCAATAAGAAGGGAGAATACTGCCTTACTGACGAGTTAGCTTTTCCAGCGATGCAATATAACCTGGGTACCCCCTCACTAGATAAGCAACCTTGAGTATGATCAGTGGCTGAATAGGTGTCCACTGGCATGTTACATTATGTCTGAGATGGTCCATACAAATTAAGTAAGGTGTAGTGTGGTCAGTGGCTGGGTGGGTGGCCACAGGCACGTTACATTATGTCTGCGATGGGCCATACAAATTAAGTAAGGTTTAGTGTGGTCAGTGGAGGAGTAAAGTCATCGTATAAAATTAGTATCTTATTGTTATATTTGGAACTGCCAAGCAATAAGAAGGGAGAATACTGCCTTACTGACGATTTAGCTTTTCCAGCGATGCAATATAACCTGGCTACCCCCTCACTGGTTCAGCAACCTTGAGTATGATCAGTGGCTGAAGGGGTGTCCACAAGCATGTTACATTATGTCTGCGTTGGTCCATACAAACTAAGTTAGGTTTAGTGTGGTCAGTGGAGGAGTAAAGTCATCGTATAAAATTAGTATCTTATTGTTATATTTGTAACTCCCAAGCAATAAGAAGGGAAAATCCTGCCTTACTGACGAGTTAGCTTTTCCAGCGATGCAATATAACCTGGGTGCCCCCTCACTGGTTCAGCAAACTTGAGTATGATCAGTGGCTGAATGGGTGCCCACAAGCATGTTACATTATGTCTGCACACGAATCCATACAAACTAAGTTAGGTTTAGTGAGTTCAGTGGCTGGATGGTAGTCCACAGGCATGTTACATTATGTCTGCGCTGTTGCATAAAAACTGAGTAAAATTTCGAGTGTTCAGTGGCTGGATGGGTGTCCACTGGCATGTTACATTATGTCTGAGATGGTCCATACAAATTAAGTAAGGTTTATTGTGGTGAGTGGCTGGATGGGTGTCCACAGGCATGTTACATTATGTCTGCGTTGGTCCATACAAACTAAGTTAGGTTTAGTGAGTTCAGTGGCTGGATGGTAGTCCACAGGCATGTTACATTATGTCTGAGATGGTCCATACAAACTAAGTTAGGTTTAGTGTGGTCAGTGGCTGGATGGGTGTCCACATGATACTATCACTATTGATGTCAACACATCACTAAGGACTGTATAGTCACACATGTGTATACTGGGTATCACTGTTGATGTCAACACATCACTAAGGACTCTATAGTCACACATGTGTATACTGTGTATCAGTGTTGATGTCAACACATCACTAAGGACTGTATAGTCATACATGTGTATACTGTGTATCACTATTGATATCAACACATCACTTATCACTGTTGATGTCAACACATCACTAAGGACTGTATAGTCACAAATGTGTATACTGTGTATCACTGTTGATGTCAACACATCACTAAGGACTGTATAGTCATACATGTGTATACTGTGTATCAGTGTTGATGTCAACACATCACTAAGGACTGTATAGTCACACATGTGTAGACTTCGTATCACTGTTGATGTCAACACATCACTAAGGACTGTATACTCACACATGTGTATACTGTGTATCACTGTTGATGTCAACACATCACTAAGCACTGTATAGTCCAACATGTGTAAACTGTGTATCACTGTTGATGTCGACACATTACTAAGGACTGTATAGTTACAAATATGTAGACTGTGTATCACTGTTGATGTCAACACATTACTAAGGACTGTATAGTTACAAATGTGTATACTGTGTATCACTATTGATGTCAACACATCACTAAGGACTGTATAGTCTAAATGTGTAGACTGTGTATCACTGTTGATGTCAACACATCACTAAGCACTGTATAGTCACACATGTGTAAACTGTGTATCACTGTTGATGTCAACACATTACTAAGGACTGTATAGTTACAAATGTGTATACTGTGTATCACTATTGATGTCAACGCATCACTAAGGACTGTATAGTCACACATGTGTATACTGTGTATCACTATTTATGTCAACACATCACTAAGGACTGTATAGTTACAAATGTGTATACTGTGTATCACTGTTGATGTCAACATATAACTAAGGACTGTATAGTCACAAATGTGTAGACTGTATCACTTTTGATATCAACACATCACTAAGGACTGTATAGTCACAAATGTGTAGACTGTGTATCACTATTGATGTCAACACATCACTAAGGACTGTATAGTCACAGATGTGTAGAATGTATTACTGTTGATATCAACACATCACTAAGGACTGTACAGTCACACATGTGTAGACTGTGTATCACTGTTGATGTCAACACATCACTAAGGGCTGTATAGTCACACATGTGTATACTGTGTATCACTATTGATGTAAACACATCACTAAGGACTGTATAGTCACACATGTGTATACTGTGTATCACTGTTGATGTCAACACATTACTATGGACTGTATAGTCACAAATGTGTAGACTGTATCACTTTTGATATCAACACATCACTAAGGACTGTATAGTCACACATGTGTAGACTTCGTATCACTGTTGATGTCAACACATCACTAAGGACTGTATAGTCACAAATGTGTAGAATGTATTACTGTTGATATCAACACATCACTAAGGACTGTATAGTCACACATGTGTATACTGTGTATCACTGTTGATGTCAACATATAACTAAGGACTGTATAGTCACAAATGTGTCCTGTATCACTATTGATGTCAACACATCACTAAGGACTGTATAGTTCCACATGTGTATACTGTGTCTCACTGTTGATGTCAACTCATCACCAAGGACTGCATAGTCACACATGTGTAGACTGGGTATCACTGTTGATGTCTACATATAACTAAGGACTGTATAGTCACACATGTGTATACTGTGTATCACTGTTGATGTCAACACACCACTTAGGACTGTATAGTCACACATGTGTATACTGTGTATCACTATTGATGTAAACACATCACTAAAGACTGTATAGTTACAAATGTGTACACTGTATCACTTTTGATGTCAACACATCACTAAGAACTGTATAGTCACACATGTGTAGACTTCGTATCACTGTTGATGTCGACACACCACTTAGGACTGTATAGTCACAAATGTGTAGACTGTGTATCACTGTTGATGTCAGCACATCACTAAGGACTGTATAGTCACACATGTGTAGACTGTATCACTTTTGATGTCAACACATCACTAAGGACTGTATAGTTACACATGTGTATACTGTGTATCACTATTGATATCAACACATCACTAAGGACTGTATAGTCACACATGTGTATAGTGTGTATCACTGTTGATGTCAACACATCACTAAGGGCTGTATAGTCACACATGTGTATACTGTGTATCACTATTGATGTCAACACATCACTAAGGACTGTATAGTCACACATGTGTATACTGTGTATCACTATTGATGTCAACACATCACTAAGGACTGTATAGTCACAAATGAACTTTTCAACAATAAAAAAAGACAAATAACATTATAATCTTTTGTTATTTTTATTAGATTTTATGCATAATTAACATCCGACATCATTTTCACGAAGTGATTCTTCAACTATTTAGTAGTCTTGAAAATTCCCTGTTGGAAAACCGACAACATGTTTATCTCGTAAATATGTCAGCAGGTGCATCTACTTGCAGAGAGTACAAGAAAACAGAAACAATTTGTCAGCATAAAATGTCTGATTTTCACACTACTTTGTAATTACTTCACCAGAAAGATTGATCAGTTGCACAACGAGACACTAAACAGATTGTACTCGTCCCTTGATACATGTCTCTGTTACAAACAGAATTCTAATCCAAGATATTTGTATAAGAAAGAAAAATAGAACTTCTCATTAATACGTTTGATTACCAGTTTACAAGCAATTTCATTTTTCAAAGCTACAACCTCAAATTAAACACCTCCTTAAAATCATGTGGTCTTCTATTTAAGCATCAAAAGTAAAGTGAGACAAGAAGCAGCAGCCCATTGTTATCAGGATTGGAATCCTTTCAGGAAATGCTTTAAATCAATAAGTGGTTCTAGACAGACTAGATTCAGATAATGTTCTATATAGCAAATTCCTCTAATTGCACAGGCTCAGTCATGAGAATGTTACTTAATTCAAATGTTTATAAATGAGTTATAGCTTTAGGCCTCCGTAATCAAACTTAAGCTTCCTTGGTGTCATGAATTGGTCCACTTCTTCTTTTGTGACCTTTGCCCTTCTCTCTCTGTGTTCCCCTATCAGCTTTTGAAGTACACCAATTAGTTCCTTCTTGAGATGACCAGTCAGAAGTTCCCCCTTTGTGTAGGCCTGGAAAAAATAGAAACAAAGGAATGAATGCATGCTACACAAGTTCAAGAGATATCTGAAAAAAATACTTAAAAAGGAACAAAAGTGGATGTCAAGCTATTGAATCTACAGCTATACTGAAGGAGTAGGTTAGATGTTTGATATAGAGGTAATCTACACCCACACTGAAGGAGTAGGTTAGATGTTTGATATAGAGGTATAATGTATAAGTGGATGAGCTGTTGATTATCTACAGCTATGTTATTTGTGCTGAGGATATTTCAGGAAATGTACCTTCTCGATCTCTGCAAGACGCTCGTCATCCTCGGAGAAAAACTTCATGTACTGGAAGGCAACATCCACTTCGCAGTCGCCTCCCTTCTCCTTGTGTTCCTCTACAGTGCTTCCACCCCCAGAGTAGGCGTACTTGTTAATCTGAGTAAACACAGACATGTTATATAGGATATACACAGGTAGTCATAGTTCAAAGTGAACAAATTACAATACTGTCCTATTTTCAGAGGTTGTTCTCAATGCTCACACCTGGAAGCAGGTGAGTCATCACAATATCTACAAGTTCATGACAAAAGGATTGTATTAACCAGACCATGGGCCTTAACGGTCACCTGATATATTTATACAGAGAGTTGATTTGGTTTTTAACATGAACAGAAATATTATTCAAAGTGACAAAAAACAATAAAAACACCTTATTAAATATCTAGCATACAGATTTAAGACTAAAAAGTATTTGAAACTAGCACCTTCGATTCTAAACAAAGAAAATGAAGAAATTTTAGCACACTGACTCTAATGGGCCCCACCCTACAGCCCTTGGGGTAGGGCTGGCTCAAAATTTTCAAAGTTTCAAACTGTCAACTCAGGGTTATAATTCCAATCAAGTTATTAACATGTAATATTCAAAGTATCATTTGCCATTATAAACCATAATAAATTTTGCCCCCCCCCC